ATTATTTACAATTTTGTCAAGTTTTAACATATTTAAGAACACTGCAAAAAAAATTGTATTGATTTAAATATTATATCAAGTAGGATACATCTATTTTATTATGTTAAACCTTTCTTTTAAATTACCCGTTTCTTTTCTAAATATTGTAAAAACTTGTTGTGTTAATAAAGTTTTCAGAAGTTAAACAAAATTTTATTGCAATATAACTTCATGGTCAGATTTTCCTATAAACTTACTGTGATTTTTTATTTAAATGTTCGTGGATATTATTTAGAATGCAATTTAATCTATAGTTTAAACTGTGGTTTCTAAATATATATTATTTATTAATATTGACTCTGTATCTAAATATACAAATACATTCAGTGAGTTGTTATAAAACTAAAGTTATTGGGAATAATAGAACTTAATAGCTACAACATCCGTCCATCTATATGGTATTATTACTGTGTGAAACAATAATATGATGCCTCTATGCATAAGTATTGTGGCAAGCCTATATTGTTTGATAACCACAACCCCAACATATTACATGCTGATTATAACAAGAATTAACATTATATATAAACCAGGTTTCATATATAGAACAATTAAATTGATTTAAACTTCATAACTATTGTTAATTGTATAGGAGTAAATAAACTCTTATTGTTATTGATAATGAAAGTATGAATTTGTTTATATACAAGTTTAGTTGTCTAACTAACTTAAACAGAATGTTTAACTGTTCTAACAAACTCTTAACAAACAAACAAATTAACTACAAGTCAATACCCTCCCTCAAGCTTAGCTGTACAAATTTCTCAAACTAAGTTTGGACAATAAAAGCTGAAACTGTGGTGTATGGAGAGCCTTTGTATGTAGATCAGCTAACTGTGCATGAGTAGGAATTAGCATGAGCTGGATGATTCCTTGTTGCACCTTGTCTCTAACCAAGTGGCAATCGATTTCAATGTGTTTCGTTCGCTCATGAAATGTGGGATTCTGAGCTATGTAGATAGCTGATAAATTGTCACAAAACAATGTCACTGGTTTCTGAATTGGTTGCTGAAGGTCCTCAAGAAGATACAATAGCCATTGTATTTCACAAATTGTAGTGGCCATTGCTCGATATTTTGTCTCTGAAGAAGATCTAGAAATTGTACTCTGCTTCTTTGATTTCCAGCTAACCAAGAAAGAACCATAAAACAAGTTGTACCCTGTAACTGATTTTCTGGTATCAACACAGGAGGCCCAATCTGAATCACAAAATCCTGTAAGCTTATGAGAAGATTCAGCTGAAAAGAATAAGCCTTGACCTGGTTGCAGTTTAAGATATCTCAAAATTCTCATGGCAGCTTCATGATGAACCTTCATTGGGGTAGAAAGGAACTGACTTAAGGTGCTCACAGCAAAGGATAAGTCAGGCCTGGTGTTAGTATGATACAGTAACCTCCCAATGAGCCTTCTGTAACCTGAAATATCATAGAAAGGTTGATCTGTGAGAGCTGGAAGCTTTGTGCCTGGCACCATTGGTGTACTAACAGGTTGACTAGCAAGTAATCCAGCCTCTTCAATCAACTCCAGAGCATATTTCCTCTGAGATAGCACCAAGCCCTCTTTAGATCTGGCTACTTCAAAGCCTAGAAAATATCTGAGATTGCCCAAGTCTTTAATTTTGAACTGATTGTCCAGAAACTGTTTGACCTTGGTAATCTCCTCTAAATCATCACCTGTGAGTACAATGTCATCAACATAAATGAGTAAAATTGTCAAATGCTCATTATGAGATCTAACAAACAGTGAGTAATCACTCTTGAATTGCACATATCCTAAAGAAAGCAGGGAAATTGTCAGCTTATGGTTCCACTGTCTGCTAGCCTGCTTTAAGCCATATAATGATTTTGTCAACTTGCATACTTGTGAAGGTTGAGCAGTAGCATAGCCTGGAGGTGGAAGCATATACACTTCTTCATCTAAAGTGCCATGCAAAAAGGCATTGTTTACATCTAATTGCTTTAGAAACCAGTTCTTAGATGCTGCCAGAGCCAGAACCAACCTCACAGTTGTCATCTTTACAACTGGAGAAAAAGTTTCAAAGTAGTCCAATCCCTCTTGTTGTGTGTAACCCTTGGCTACCAACCTAGCTTTGAACCTCTCAACAATACCATCTGCATGCCTCTTAATCCTGAATACCCATTTACATCCAATTGGATGTTTACCAGGTGGTAAGTCAGTCATTTCCCATGTTTTGGTACTCTCAAGAGCTGCAATTTCAAGGTCCATTGCTTGCCTCCATCTCTCATCCTTCACAGCTTGACTATATGTTCTAGGTTCAATGAGAGTAGACAAGACAAAACAAAAGACTGATAGGAAGGAGAAAGGGAAGAATAAGAGAGATAATCAGAGAGAGGATAAAGAGTACCAGATGAGGAGTTAGATGGTTGAGTTCCCTGTGATGAAGAATGGACTAAATGACAGTGGTAATCCTGCAAGTAAGATGGTTTTGTTCTGGTTCTGGCAGATTGCCTTATAGGTTCTGGTTCAGGGACAGGTTGAGTAACAGCAGGGGAAAGTGGAGGAAGATTTTGTGAATTTGATGATGGTAAAGGATCAGGTATAGACTGATTTCTGTGAGTAGGTAAAGATGGAGCTTGTGGTTTAGTAGGAAGGATATGAAATAATGATTCATGTGATGCAGAAATGCCTTGATGAAAAGGAAAAATATTTTCATAAAAAATAACATTCCTAGACAAAAATATTTCTCTTGAAAGAAGATCAAGCAAAAGAAAACCTTTAACACCCTCTTTATATCCCAGCAAAACACACTTCCTGGCCCTAGCCTGAAATTTTGTTCTATGAGCTGTTATGGTAGTAGCATAACACAATGAACCAAAGATTCTTAAATGTTCCAGATCTGGTGTTTTGTCATATAAAATCATGTAGGGTGATTTGTTTGAAAGAACCCTAGTAGGTAAGAGGTTGATCAAATAAGTGGCATGCAAGACAGCAAAAGACCAAAATTGAATGGACAAGTTAGAGTGAAACATCAAAGCCCTAGCAACATTCAAGATATGTTGATAAACTCTTATTGTTATTGATAATGAAAGTATTGATTTGTTTATATACAAGTTTAGTTGTGTAACTAACTTAAACAGAATGTTTAACTGTTCTAACAAACTCTTAACAAACTAACTAACTAACTACATGTCAATAACCATCAACAAGACATCTATGAAGAGACAACAACACCGATACAAAGCAGCCACATACGTAAGTGATACAACTCAAAATGTAAATCAACACCCGATTTCTAGATTGTCATTTTAGAAATATTAAAAACACCACAACACCTTCATAAAACACCTACACGATTAACTAGTACAACTCTAAACATCCTTCCCTAGCCAACATTCATTGTTGTGGTTTTACCACTTTAACTTCGACCCGGTTCACTAAAGGATACTTGATCTTAAAATGCAACATATCCCCTTCACTCAAATCACGACCAACAGCAATTTTCTACCATCCTTTCACAAAGAACTTCTCGGTCTTTCCATTCCTACTATTTAAAACACACTGATGGGATACATTCAAATCCATGTTGAAAAGTTCGATCGAAGTACGGGGTTCCATGACGCATTCATAAATAAAATCGGCTGAAATTTGCTGTACATAACCCATAAAATATGATAATTTATTTTTATTAACTATACAGACTAAACATGATTAGACTTACCATCAATTGGTCCTGGTCACCCTGGCACATTTCACCTCCTTCTGCCAGTTGCACACATGTGTTTCAACCTTCTGATCGTCAATTATTCCTTCATGAGGCATATTCTCTATACCCCTACATTATCATCCCATCCAAAATAACAAGGTTTTGTTTCATCAAGTAAACTCAATAAACTGTTTTAACAACAAAAAAATTTAGACATATATATGTTCATCAAATCTATTTGATGTCATCCATTGATACATCTCATTATAACAACACTAACATGATTAAACACTTCAACAACGTAAGTTTTTACATATAAATTAATAAACATTACTAAATTTAATTTTCTTTTTATGTATATAATATACTTATATGAGTTCCAAGTGGGGCCAGTTTGTCTTACCCTTCATCTGTTGGATTCACAGCAGCAGATTCTTCTGCATGAGCCTCTTCGGTTAGTTCTGTTTCACATTCACGAGCTACAACAACAAATTCTTTATACGACAACAAATTTCTTGTCTTTTTTGTCCTTAGCTCATACTCCTCATCCTCTTTTATATATTTGTGGTATTTCTCTAAAATGAATTCATCGGCGAGTCTTTCCTTCACATGGGAAATTGAACTGATTTTTTTTGTTATATTACATCACTACAATATTTAGACTCTCCAGCAACAATTGAAAAACGTTGCAAGAACTCTGAAAATCGTTGCCTAAAATAATTGGGGACGTTTTCTAGGCGTCTCCTGTGCGAGCGTTGCCTATTGTTTGAGGCGACGTTTTTTTTATGTTTTTTGGGAACGCTTTTGAAAAACGTCGCCTATAGTAAAGGAATAGGGGACGATTATTTACGGCCTCTGAGACAACGTTTTTTAAGCGTTGCGTTGCCAAATTCGGCTACAATTAACAATCGTTGCCTTAAACCTGAATCAGGAAGATCGTTTTTGAAGTGTAGCCATAGCTTATAGGTTGTTGTTTTATAGTGTCCACATAAAATATACAATTTTGCAATTATTATCAAAATAATATAGTCAATAATAATTGGCTTCAAAAATAATATTGATTATATAACTTAAACCATACATCCATAAAAGTTGTAATATAATAAAATCGAGTTCAAACTTTAATTCAAAATATAGTATATAGAGTACACAAAATGCCTAACGTAACAATATTACTTTTAATACTTTGAAGTATGACCCTAGTAAAATAACTAAAAACATAGTTCAGCAAAAGAACAAAAATCATATTTCAAGTTTAATGCTTTCAACTACAAGCCAAAAAAAGACATCATCCAACTCATTCAAGTTTGTCTTCTAGGAGTAAAGCATCTAGATCGTCCTCTTGAAATTCGTTAGATATGTCATCCTCCATAAATTCTTCATCTACGTCGTCCTCTTGAAATCCACCTTCTATATCCTCCTCTTGAAATTCATCATCTAGATCTATGTCGTCCTCTTGAAATTCGTCATCTACGTCGTCCTCTTGAATTTTATCATTTAGGTCGTCCTCTTGAATTTTATCATTTATGTCGTCCTCTTGAATTTCATCATTTATATCGTCCTTTTCAACATCTTCATTGATACATTGTTGCATAAGAAAATAAAATAAAACACATTAACCATAAGTATTTTTGGTCCAAAGGACAATTAAGACATCAACAAGAATTAAACCTCGCACAAATAAAAACTAAACCAATGAGCAAAACACATTGTTTATATTCTTCACATCTCATGGATGTGAATTAATTATGAAGGTTTTTAATGGATGTGAATTTTCGTTCTAAACTGTAATAGGTGACATGAGCTTACTAGCAAATAAATCAATTATAAAAACCATTCTGTTTTTGGCTCACTATTCAGGACTTACAATAGCCTTTAACTGTATGTATGTATGTATGTATAACTTGTGCTATCCTTTTATGTTTATTTTTTGGAGTAAATGAACTCTGATGAACACTCTTACTTGTTGTATCTTCTTTGGTGTTCAGTATCATATGGATAAATTTACAGCATACATAGTGAGTGTTATCAAACAAGGGGATCCCATAATCTTATCCCAGGCAAGTATGTTTGTGAAATATCAATGAAAGCTCGCACAAATAAAACAGTTCCAGCCACTTCTAGGTGTTGTCACTACTTAAACAATTTCAACCACTTACTTTATTCTAGGTGTTGTCACTACTTGCAAATTTTTGCATACATTAACAACCATTTTGATACTATAACATAATTAGAAAAATATAAATCAATAATATTGGTATATATGGTTACCTTTCCATGACATGGAGCATGAGTTGATGTAGATGAATGCATTTGCGGTCTTATATTCTTTGGGGAACTATTAGCATCTCCATGAGATAATCCTAACAAATCTTCAATTGACTCTACATTAATTTGAGGATTGCATTGTTGTATTACGGTCTTAAAAGCATTTTGCAATCTATCAATCTTATCTTGAAACTCGTCCCTTAATGTAGAGACCTCTTCACTGTGGGCTTGTTTCAAAGCATTAATCTCTGCCTTTCTCCAAATTTATTGAGTACTTGAAATCATTTTTATGAGAATAATGTATAGTTATAACACAATAACACAAGTGCAGAGTCTAGCAAGAAAACAAAACAGTGAAATTTTTAAGTAACAAACTTTTGCAAGATTACAATTTGACCTCAACTGTGAATTTTGATAACCTTGCAAACAAGCGAGTGTTCGACAGTTCATTATAAACCTTGCAAGATTACAGTTGACCTAAACTCTAGAGCTAAAAGTTAAAAACAATATCAGAAGTTTGATATGAACCTGGTGTGAGAATATTAGGTGGAGAATTTACAAGCTCCCTTCCAAGAAGGACTCCAGAAGAAACGTCTCCTGCATACTTAAGTTTCTTCTCCACTTCAGGCCCAGTTCCGAGACCAATAATGTCAACTGATTTAAGGAACGATTTCTTCGACTCCGTCTTGTACCTGGTATCCTCAAATGTTCCCAGAACGGTCCCTACCACAATTCATAAACATCCCAACCTTACACATAAACATACATCATATACACACATATAACTATAGAGGTAATTTGGCAATCATAGATAATTAGCTACTCGTTGGAAAATCAACAATGAGATTTAAGTCTTATTGTACAAACCGCTCAATAAATAGGTGAGTAAATTCCAGAAGGAATGATTCCTATAAACCGCCTAAGAATGATTCTGTCTTCTTCTTATGTAAATTATTAGAGATATAGAATTAGGAATTTTAAGCTCTATAAAGTGTGTTTTTTAGTTTTCTTTCTTTTGGGCCTCGGCCCTCTCTATAATAAAAAAAAATGTTGAAGTTTATTAAGTTAATTCTAACATTAACCAACTAACTTGTATATTTTATTAACTCCCACAAACTCATAAAAAGAAAATACTTGATATATAAGTTTAGAGAATAAAATTAAACTAGAAACTGTATCTAAGTAGAAAAGAAATACCAGTGGCGATTGCAAAGGCAGTGTTAAGGGAAGAGAGTCCTTGAGAAGAAGAAGCTAAAACGACAGCGACGTGGACAGCCTGAGCGGACTTAGCAGCTGCAGCAACAGCCTCACCAAGGCCTTTAAAGGCGGCCGGACCAGAAGCAGAAGCTCTGAGGCCAAGCAAGGCGACTCTCTTGGATCCAATTCCAGCTGCAATTCGGAGAACCGTTGACTGTCCAACTTTTCCGGCGAAGTCCTCTTCGAACGAGGCTTCAGTTAATAACCCGCCCAATTTGGAGTCCAGCGCGCTCAAAATTGGATTCTGGAATCTGGACTCGTCGTCCCTAGCTACGTCCTTTTCCGTCACGGCAACGGCTAAGAGGTCCCCTCAATATAAATGCAGAAATACATACAAACACAGCGGACGACTTGGACGACGTGGACGAAAGCAGTTGGACGGCGAACGATGAACGGACGACGACGTGGACGACGAACACGGAGTGGCAGTTGGACGGAGTGACGAAGAACACGGCGGAGGGTGTGAACGAAAGAGGTTTGACTCGGAGCGGATGAAGGACGGAGCGTCTGAGAGCGCGGCTAGGTTCGGCGAAATGTGTGAACGAAAAAGAAGGAGAATCGAAAGCTGTTGCTTTTGTTTTCCTTATCTGTTTATTTTTTTATTTTTTTTATTTTCTATTCTTTTTAATAAGACGTGGCAATAATTGAGAGGACTAGTAATGAAAAATATTTTAAATTCCTGTGTTAGAAAATTTTTTATTTTCTGTTTAATGAATTTTTTTTAATATTTATATATAAGTTTTAGAGAAATATTAATAATGTGTTAGAAAAATTCCTATTTAATTGAAATATATATAAGTTTTAGACTAATAAATATATATATATATATATATATATATATATATATATATATATATATATATATATATATATATATATATATATATATATATATATATATATATATATATATATATATATATATATATATATATATATATATATATATATATATATATATATATATATATATATATATATAAATTTTTATTTTCTATTTAATTGAAAAAATTTATTTTTAAATTCCTGTGTTAGAAAAATATTTTTTTTATATATATTAATAATGTTTAGAGAAAAATATTTATTTTTTAGTGTATAAGTTTTGGAGGGAAGATTGCCACCAAAAATTTGATAATTCTAAAAAAATTTATACAACATTTCAGAAATGTAGCCTTTTATTAGAACTAATGTAACAATCTAAAAATGTCCCCAAAAATATTTTAGGGGACAATTGTCAAACATTGCTAAAGAAATAATATTTTAATATTCTAAAATCGTCTCCAAAAGCAGTTAAAGGCACAATTAACAACCGTTGACAAAAAAATAAAAGAGTATCGCTCCATAAACGTCCTCAAAAGTATTTTAGGCGACGATTATCAAGGGTTGCAAACATATTTTTGACAACAATCATAAATCGTTGCCTATATGAATTTAAGGCAACAATTTCTACATGTTACCTAAAAAAGTGTTGCCAGAGACAACAAATATTGTAGTGTACATGAATAAATTTAATAAAAAATAACATGCATGCCATTAAAGAAGGATACATGCCTTGACAATCCACCGTCAACTGCATTCATAGTTCTTGCAGCTTCAAACTTTTCCTTCTATTCTACCGTAACAATCCACTTCTCCGACTCACGAAATAGGAATTTCTCCCTTCTAAGTTAACTCCACACCGTTCCTGGCGGCATGACTTCGTGAGATCTGCTAATAAAACCCCTTCAAAATAAGGAAGTCAACAAAACGCCCAGACTTCTCATTTCAAACAACATGCAACAAATAAATCTTTGTATGTTTACTTCTACTTAAGTAATTTGTATAACATATAAGATGAAAATAATGAACTCAAAGAAATCCATGATTTATCTTACCCAACACTTACACCATCTTAGATTTCCATGACTCATTTTTCAGGTTTGTTGGACAGAGAGAATTGAAAAGCTTTGCTTGTGTTTGTGTGAAGGATGGAAACAAAGGAAAATTATTTTTATTTTATTCGTAAACTAAATGACATATAGAAGACAAAAGATTTTTAGCTCATTTAATATGACTCAAACACGTTTGCAATTCCAACACTTCCATATACATGTTCTCCAAACACGTGTTACACTTTTTGACAATCATATTATATATTTTGTACACTTAGTATGCTTTTAGATTTTGATCAATGTTATTATATTTTATATTTTATACCCACAACATGAAACAGTTTAGAGGTACAACTTTATTTTTAACACACTTTCTTTTATAACATATAAATTTTAGTTTATAATAAAAATTTATAATCTAATTTTATTTATTTATTTATTTATTTATTTATTATTATTATTATTATTATTATTATTATTATTTTTATTATTATTATTATTATTATTATTATTATTATTTTCATTGTTGATGGTGAGATTGAAGTTTCTATCGAAGAGGAAGACATAATCTCTGAAATCAGATTTTGGGAATCCTCCCTGATAATGTATGTCCTATGGGGTGATTTAAGTATGAACGCGGTGAAGCATTTCATGACGAAGATGTGGAATTTTGTCAAGTTGCCAGACATGTTCTATCATGAGGAGGGGTATTTCCTCTTGAAATTCAAATCCTTAAAAGAGAGAGATGAAGTCCTGATGAAGGGCCCTTATACCATTAGGAATATGCCAATGCTCCTGCGTGAATGGTGGCCTGATTTCAATCTGAAGAACGATATGCTTCGCACACTCCCAATATGGGTGAAACTCTCTTTACTTCCTGATTGTGGGATTTATACTTATATATCCAATGATTCGGACTGCAAGTGCACAGTCTTGTCGAGTAGTTTTAAAAGATATCGAACCACAGAGACTGAAGAATCGATCTACCATTTTCTATTGTTACTTGTAAATCTAAAGCTAATGAATATTTGATTTGGGTTGTAGGGAAACTAATCTCTAAATTAAGTTGTATTTTAATAATCAATGAGCTTAATTACCAGTATGCAACAGTCTTACCTCGGGAACTAGTGACCTATCGGGCGTCTTTATATTTTCAAAACAGTTTTCAGTAAAACCTATCTAGTTTAAAAACCCTCGTCTCACACTGTCGTTTTGTTGATCTAGGCTATGCAGTTAAGTCCTAACGTACGCTTCCGCCATCCCGCAGGAGTTAAAAACACTTTTTGGAAACTAAACAAAATCTTAATTAACTTTAAAGTGCTTCCGTTGTATTTTAAGCCAATGCCTAATTACTACTGTCCAGTTAAAAGATCTCAAATTTCTGCTTTGTTGACCCTAACCTCTATCTGTTTTTTACTTCCGTAACAAAACAATTTAATGATTTGAAAAATAGTAACTTAGGCCAGAAAAGAATGTTTCGTAGTAAAAATAGTCCCGACTAAGTTACTCGTTCCCTCGGTTGATTGACTTTACATACCAGTATAAGATTTCTAGCTTGACATAATATTAAACCAAATCGCAGAATAATTTAAAGGACAAACACAAATAAACATAATTATATTAATTAATAAGCAATAAGAATTTGTAAACATAAACCTGGTAATAACTCTGAAGACAGAAGCACTCCTGCACAAATTGTAGGCTTTGCTTCGATCGGTGAATATATTTAACCGTACAGAAGAAAATAATGCTGAAAGAATAATGCTGGAAAGAAATAACTGGGAAAAGAAAATAATGCTGAAAATAATATTATGCTGAAAATAATATCTGCTTAATAAAATCTCTAAACTTTCTCGCCAAAAAGAAGAACCCTTTCTACTGTGGTCTCAGGCTCTATTTATAGTGCTTGCTTGATTCGTTGCTCTAAAAAATGTAGGAACAATTCACTTTTCTTCCTTGAGAAATAATAGGCCATTTAATTGTCACGTTCGTTGCTCTCTTGACTAAGTGGGTGAGAGAATGTAGGAACTCGTTGGATTAATCCTTGAACGTGTTTCTGTCCGTTGGATGAGGAGAAAGTGGGGTGATAGGCTGTGACGTTCGTCACAAGCAAGTGACTATCGTCACTTGGTCTTCATGGAGCGTGACGTTCGTCACGTCCCCTTGACGGTCGTCAGGGCTTGGTTGCTTGTGGGCCACGTGCTCACATGTGTAATGGGCTTTTGGGCTGTTTTCTTCTCCTTAGGCTCTTTTACTATTTTTTGCACCCTTTTAAGTTCCATTTCTTCAAAAGTGTTCGGCTCAGTGCATATCTGCAAAAATAGAAAAATACCTGCATAATACTTATAAAATAATTTAATTCAAACTAAAGTATGAGAAATATTTGGTGTATATCAAGCCAGAAATATCACATATTTGTGTGTCATCAAACTCCCCCATACTTAAACTTTGCTTGTCCTCAAGCAAATGCTAAGTACGATGTTTTTCTAAACATGGTTATGACTCAGATCGACTAATATATAGCTGCATTGTGTTTTTGTCAGAAAATCGGTGGTTTGATTCGTGCTCCATAACTACGTCGGCGACGCTAGACAATCCCATTTTACATAAACTAGTTACAGGTCCTATCATAGCCTACCTCGAGTATTTGTCTTGTTTTACCCTTTTCATTCTAGCGCAATCACATTAAGCCCTTTATCTTCACACGCACATAGCAGAACAGTCGGTTAGTGGTTATGATCCTTTTACACTTTTAGAGGTTTCTGGCACATTAATGTGGCAACCTTTAATTCAAATGTTGGATGCGGGGGATCAGACTGTAATCTGCCTTACCGAGTTCAGTACCAGATGCTCCTGAACCATCCATCAAATGAATTTTCATGTTACTTTGTAAGGTTTACATCCTTTGGATTAGGCGATCAGATGAGGATCGTCCAATTTAATCAGTGTGTTTCCTTGTAACATTTTGCTGAAATATTCTATCATCCACATATATTCATCGACTTCCTGCGTAGTTTGTGTTTAAGACGGTGCTGACTGCTAATATAAACTACTCAAGGTTACTATAAAGACTAAACTCAGGGTGTTGGAAACAACGGGTACTTGAACTGATCTATCATACTCTGGGGTTGTAGAGTGTCTAAACGGTAGAAATTTCGCTTAATCTCGCCCCAATTCCTGATGATTAAAGATTTTGCAGTCTATTTACTTGTCGTGTGAGAAAAAAAATTTATGGGCTCAAAAAAAAGAAGGGGAGTCTAAAAGAACAACACAAATTGCTGCAATAGATGACTTGAAATTTTTTTTATTTATTATTTTTTTTATTGAATTTAAGATAACAGAAGGGAAATTACAAAGAAAATAAAAATTACTAGAAAAAGGGAAATACTTCCTCCCCCATACTTGAATCATACATTATCCTCAATGTATTGATAGAAGCGGGAAAGGGGAAAGATAACAACATAATCATTCTTCCTCCTCTTGTCTTTGGTATCGGCCACGTGTCCTTGCTCTTCGACGTGCTTGCCCCCCATGTCTGGAAGATTCGCCGCCATCTCTTTGGGATATGATATTATGCAAGTCGTTAACACGGAGTGTTAAGGCTCGCATATCCGCCGTTATTCCTGTGGTGAATTCCAGCATACTTTGATCGTGCCTGAGAGCGTAGTCATTTTGGTCTCTCTGCATTTTTTGCATGAGAGTCATCATCTCGATTTGGCGTGTCTCGAGGCCTTGGTGGCGTTGAGTGGACAATTGGTTTTGTTGCATTATTGCGGCATATATTGCGTCGATGGTGGCGGGATTGTTGGCTTGTTGTGGTTGGGGCTCTTGCTGCTCTAATTCTTCTTCGATTTCGTCAGTGGCAGCGTTGTTAGCCTGACCTTGATTTCCTTGCACATTTTCTCCGGGTTCAGGGGCGTTCAGGTTGTAAAGCCAGTTATCCGGATTACCCAAGTAAGTACGATTATGATTTGGCATGATCACACTACGAACTCTTGCATTCTTAACCATGAGATAGTATCCTCCAGCTTCTCGTACTTTAATCAGGCGGCCAGCTCTACAGTTATCAATGTCCATAAAAATTGCTGGCAGTGGAGGTAGGAGTTGGATCCTTTCCCCCCAGTTCAAGTGAACTGCGATGGCGGTGACGATGCCTCCAATGCAAAGAGGTGTGGTCCCTTCTCTTGCAACGAGGTTTTAAATATGGGCCATCATTAAAGTGACGGGATTAAGACGGATGTTTTGCGAAAAGGTACAGTGGAGAGCATATAATTCTTTAGTGTTTACCTTGTTGTTGTTTGCCCTTTCGAATATTGTGTTTGCCATAACACGGTGTAAGAAGCGGATGTTCGGGTTGTGGATATGAGAGGCGTACCGTGCTTCGGGTGTGACATTTAATTCGCTGGTTATTCTCTCCCATAGTGCGTATGCGCTTCCATTCCAATCCAATTCTGGGGGTATGCGGTATTGCATATTATTCCCTCGGGGAAAATGAAATATGTCGCTCAAAATTTCATGGTTGAGTTGGTACTCTCGGTTGAACACCCGAAAATGAGCGGCTCCCGTTAGGTGTGCGTCTGCATCTTCTCGAGTGTGATATGCGTAGGAACTCAAGAATTCCAACGTGAGAGCTTCGTAAGTTGGTGTGTTCATCGTGCTAATAAAGCTTAGGCCAACTTTATTCAGCAAGCCTTCCATATGAGGTTGCAAGCAAGTGTTGTCGACGAATCGTGTGGATGTTAGCCCTCGGTGATGGAATTTTATGTACCTCTCTTTTTGAAGCTCATCGGCTTCTCCTTGTCGGAGCACGAGATGTCGCATATCGGGTTCGGGTTGGTTGGCCATGAGTGTTGAACTTGATAGAAAATAAAATGTATATGTGGTAGAGAGATGGAAAGGGAGTGGTAGTGATGAAACTAAGGATGGAAGGGGAGGGTTTATATATATGGTTTTGTGGAGTAAGAAATTTAATGGTGTTTATGGGAGAATTTTGAAATTTGGGAGGTTATGGGTAAGTGGAGTAAATGGGGTGGTGGAAT